CCGGCGATCTCCGTTCGTCTGCCCCTAAGAAATCGGTGTGTGGAGGTGTTATCTTGTGACACGCACCACTGCAATGGACCGTTTGGATCCAGTAGAGCCATTGATCTTGTTTGCGCTTCTCCTGAAATTGATACGCAGGTTTGCATACACAATGGTGTGCACTGCAAAGGTTCTGAGTGCAATTGGGATCTTTGCGTAGAATATACCAGGGGCGACCATTTCCTCATCGAAGCCAGGATCACCGACGCAGCTGTAGCATGCTTTGCTCCTGCCTCTGTGTCCCTGCCTGGATGTTGGCATGAAGAAAACCTTTGGGAGCATGGTGTCAATCGTGCTTCCCCATGCCTGGCTGCATTAGGGAGCCTCTTCTCAGACATTGTTTCCCTGTGCCAACAGCTCTTGGTTGGACAGCAATGTCGAACAGTCGAGCAATGGATCGCGGATGTGTGCGCCTGGATGCTGTGCACGATCGAGTGTTTCATTAGAGATGCTTGGGTTTTATTTGCTAAGCTTGACCGAAGGGTTAAAGCAAAAGGGGATGGAACACCTGCAACTCTACAAGCGCCTGAGGACATTGACAGCCTGTGCAAGGCCCTCAGTCAAGCAAAAGACTCCTGGCCTCAGCACTGCATCAAAACTTGCCTCCAGTGGCTTAGGCCTGCTTCCATCCATCCACCCTTGTACCTCCTCAGGAACGGGGAGTTCTTGTCTGCAGAGGATAGTCATGAGGCCTGGAAGCAACAGCTCTTTGAGCAAGGGGCCTGGCCTGCGCACTTTGATCGGGTCTTCCATGCCGAGCTTGAGCAACGCGTCAAGCAATTACTCGGGCATGCGAGAGCCCATAGAGGCAGCGGCGAATTTGACGCTGCCTTCTTGCAGTCTGAGTGGTTTAGGGCGGCGGAGGACATCTCTTCTTCCAGGGCCCCTTCACCATTCCTTCTGCCTAGGCTTCTTTTGTCCCTAAGAGCGAACGCATGGCATGATGCAGCCTCCAAACTGCAGGAGCTCTGCGGGCCTAATCTCCTTGCTGTGCGGCCATGCCTCTGGAGATTTCGAAGCCTCACTGTAAAACACAAGAAGGGACCCTGCAGCTCTCCTGCTTCATACAGGTTCCTCGCGGTTGCCGATTTGCATGGTTTGCTTCAAGAACAATTGTTGATGAACAGAGTGACGCCTTCTCTCCAACGATCCTTGGAGTGGTACCAAACAGGATATAGGCACGATGTCCGTAATCATCATTTCACATTAGCATGCTTGCAAGAGGAGTACAAGCACTGGCGCAGATGTTTTATCGCGATATTTGCTGATTTTGTGCATGCTTTTCCGCGTTGTTGGAGAGCGGGGCTCATTTCTGAGACCCATATCTCCGCGGGTCTGCGTGATGGGGCTCTCTCTCTCTTGGGCTCCATCATGGAAAAAGATCGTTGGAGGATCACATTCAGTGGAGATTCTCTGGTCTCCACTTCAGAGGGGATCCCAGAGGGGAGCAAATACGGCCCTGCGTGCTTCAATTTGCTGCCCAACATTCTTGTCAAAGAGTTGCTCGGAGCAAGGTGTGGCGTCTCATTCAGCGCCAAGGTGCCCCATGCCTGGGCTGACCATGTCTGGACAGGGCGCGGATTTCCGGAGTCGTCAACAGTTCAGGACATTCTGTGCCGTCTGCAGCATGACAAGTCCCTCCCCGGCATAGAACTCATGAGAAAGGACTGCAACCTTGAGGCTTCCTGCGCAAGAGCCCTAGATCTGCATGCAGGCCTGCGCGTCCCGGTACTGTTTCACGCAGATGATCCTGTGTTTTTGGCCTCAAGTCGGGGAGAGGCAAATCGTGTCTTGGCCCTTGTTAGTTCGTGGGCTCGGCGTTTCAAGGTTACCCTGCACCTTTCTGACAAGAAGACCGTTGCCTTGACGCTCCCTTTCTCCTCTGCGTCCAGTGCTCTGCACAGTTCGCCTCTGCGCTACGACTCATCCGGACAGGGGCTGCCCTCGCCGATCTCATGGGCAAGCTCTCAGAAATGGCTCGGGCTCCTCTGGAACGATGTTGGCGATTTCGGCCCTCATGCTAGGAAGTGTTGCGGCTCCTGCCACAGCTCAGTACAAGCCCTGTGCAGCCTGGTCTCGGGCCGTCGCATTCCTCTTGTCATGGCTTGTTTGATTTTCGATCTGAAAATTGAGCCTGCCCTCAAGTTTGGCCGCTGACTCTGGGGAGTTCATGAGGACTCCCTGGCAGTCCTCACTGAGTCATACAACTCCTGGGCACGGATGCTCCTAGGTTCTAGCAGGTGGCGCTCGGCAGAGGTGTGTCGAGGTGAACTTGGCTGGGAGTTCTGCGCCCCTGCCAGGGTCGCCCTGGAAGTTGCAGCCGTGCGGCACGCTCTGTGGCTACAGAATGGTGAGTCCCTGGCGGGCCTTTGCTTCGCCCAGGCACACCTCCTGCAGTCTAACAATTGGGCAAAAGCCTCGCTGCAGCTTCTGGAAAAATGGTCTGTCTTAGACTGGCCTGTTTGGGCATCCTGCCGCCGTGCACATCCCACCTATCAGCTGTATGTGCGCGAAACGGTGCAGTACTCTTCCACCCTGGCTTGGAAGGCAGCTGTTGCAAAGCATACTTTGCCTTTGTGCTACCTGGCCCTTTGTGATGCCCCTTCTTCGCAGTTACGCGCTGCCTTCAAACTGAACGTGGCGTGGGCGAGCCTCCTCGGGCACAGAGACCTCTTGCTGCTGCGCTGCGGGTTCATTCGTCTAGGGCACATCGATCATCGGCCATCCAGGGCTGCCATCTTGCGGTGTATTTTCTGTGACAGGCGTTATTCGAGCATCCACTCGCACGTTGTCTGCCGGTGCAGTCACTTTGAAACATGCAGGCGCCCCTGCATGCCATGCGACAGCTTGAGCATACTCAATGTACAGCCGGGAGCTCCGCTATTTGAGCAAGTCGTTGTGCTTGCCAGCTGTATCTGCTCCGAAGCTCGCCAATTTTGGCGCCTTCACGGCTACGGCTCAGAGTCGTAGGCTCGTTGGGCAAAGCGCATGTGCTCACTGAATAGGCAGGGTTCTCGGTGGCATGTCTGCGCTGCTGCGGCAGTGGCTGATGGCTTTTCCGAGGGCTGGGGCATCTGCCGGGATGATCAGTGACCACATGGATGAGTTGTAGGGTGAGCATCTGTCCTGCCCTGGACTGACACGCATGTGTCTACCTACCAACCAACCAACCAACCTAACCCCTAAATGAGCATAGTTTGGGTGGTTGGGGTGGGACTGCGTGCTAACGCAAGCGAGCGGCCCGGGTGCTTTTAGCACCAGCGAGCTTCCCTTCTATACACCCTAAACCATAAACCATAAACCATAAACCCTAAACCCTAAACCCTAACCGCGAGCGGTTGGCTGCGCCTCCTCGGCCCGACCCATGCTCAGCAGTGCCTCGGAGCGGCGGCAGCGGGCCTTCCCGGCACAGGTGGGTTTTGTGATAGTAGGGGGTTTAGGGTTTAGGGTTTGGGGTTTGGGGTTTGGGGTTTGGCATTTAGGGTTTAGGGGTACCTACCTGATTGGGGCCCTTACTAGAAGGGATCCTACTATTTGCCTGATTGAATTCCCTATTACAAGGGGATCCTACTATTTGGGGGTCTATATCAGGCTATTTTCGTAAACCCCCATGTTCTGTTGTGGACGTTAGAGTTGGGATGGTCCTCCGGGTTTTAGGGTTTTAGGGTTTTAGGTTGAGATGTTCCCCCTTATACTAACGGTCCTTAATAGGGAGTATAGTACCCCGCTATTGTAATCCTTAGTAAGGACTGTTTGTATAAGGGGGACACATGCCAACTTTAGAGCTTTGGGGTTTGTCGGGTTTCCATGGGGGAGGAGGTTTCAGACGTATATTCCTTTGAGAGCAGGACGATTTTGGGGGGGAGGGGCAAGGCTAAGGGGGAAGAGGGGTGAGGGGGGGGGACTAGCCCTAAACCCGAAACCCTAAACCCTACACCCTAAACCCTAAACCCTAAACCCTCAACTCCAGGAGCAGAGCGCGGCTTTTTCAGGGTTTATCCCCCCCTCCAGGCGCCTCTTCACTCGTCTCCTCCATGGACAAGGCCTCCCCCGACGCAGAATGGGAGGCAGAGCCCAAAGTGCCCTAAACCCTAAGCCTTAAGCCCTAAGCCCTAAGCCCAAAACCCTATCTAAAAAAGCAACCCTGCAAGGGGGTTCTTTGAACCCCAAACCCACACAGTGGCCCTAAAGAAGGGCCGAAAGGGTATTGCCATGAAAAGCTCAGAAAGCCGAAACCACATTATTTGAAACGAGTGGGTCACTAAGGAACTTAAAAGGGGACACTATCAAACAACACATTGGGGCCTAGTGCTTCGGGTACCCATGGGATTTTGGAGCCTTCTCTGAAACAGGATATTCTTTAAATAAACAACGGCCTGAACCCTAGAGCCTCCCCGAAACCCTAAACCCTAAACCCTAAACCCTCAACCCTGAATCCTCCACCCTCAACCCTCTGAGTGCCTCCTCTGCGAGGGCCAGCGCTTTGTCGAAGCGGCCGGCCTTTCAGGTTTGGATCAAGAGAGGCCCGGAACCTTTAGGGTTTAGGGTTTAGGGTTTAGGGTTTAGGGTTTAGGGTTTAGGGTTTAGGGAAGATCGAGACCCTAGAGACCCTAAGGCCCTAAGAGCTTTAGGGCCCGGGTCGATACAGAAGGGATTTAGAGCAACAACTTCGAGAGAGAAGGGTTGGCACATGCGATTGAACGGTTGAATCGCAACGGGCAGCGGCTTCTTCCATTTGGTGTCTATTGGCTGCCGGCTCATGGGCGGATATCTTGAGTGACAAGTGCACGAACGCATGAACAGGTGAAAAGCCCGCACACGTTGGCTTGTTCAGTACTCGGAAATCTCTTGCATGCACGAAGGCTGCATTAGAGCGGTTTGGCTGCTAATGTGGCTGTTGAAGCAATCTACACGCAAAAGAGACAGTTTCTAGATTCCAACCATGCCGAATGTCAAAGATGTGGAGGTTTTGATGGCATCAACCAAAACCGTCCAGCTACTGCGGACCTTTGGCCAATCAAAGATGAAATAACGAGGTCCGTACAATGCTGGCTGCTACGCAGCTACGACCTATGCTGTTGCCAGCTTCCAGGCAGGCGAGCTCGCCGGCAGGCTGAAGCGGGCTGACATAACTAGCGTTCTATTTTTACGTAGTGGACCCACGAGTCATGGAGTTTCTGGATTGTCTGCGGGGCATCTGGCATAAACCCAAAACGCATAACCTTTCGGCAAAGTCGCCTTCAACTCCACGGCAGAAAGCTGACAGCGGAGGAGACAGCGATCAGACTTCGGCACCTGTTATGCTCTGGATTCCCACCCTATAGCCTGTATATAGACCCTAAACGCGAAACGGCTAAGACATTTTGGACCTACAACGACACAGGGTTTTGGTGCTGAAAAGTGTTGGCTTTACAGTGATGGGCTTGAAGGCTTTAAGGCTGAGCTCTTTTTTACGGATTAGAGCTGGTTTCAGAGCTTCTTCAAGTTTAGGGTTTAAGTCTGGGGCTTAGCCTATATCCTTCGTTCTAGGGCTTGGGGCTTGTAACTTATATTGCTACGGGGAAGGTTTAAGTTGGCCTTCTGGATGTCTATGAAATTTCGGGTTTTGGAATGTAGGTGCAGAAGAGAATTCAGGTGTCCAGCTTCAAGACGCTCAACACCCTAAGCCCTAAACCCCAAAGCGATTCTGCCCGCAGTAAGCTTCTTGGGTCACCTCGCAACAACGGTAATTTCACCTTTGAAAATCCCAAGTCAGCCTGCACAGCAAACAAGGCTTTAGAGGTCCTGTACGGAGGCTTGCAGTGAAGCGCGTTTAAAGCTTCAGCGGTGGTTATATCTAACTACGCATGTCATGCTACGCAGCAGCTTAGGGTTTGCGAGCTAGTTTTGGGCTGCGGTTTAAGGCTTAGGGCTGCAGAAATGTCTGCCAGCTCACCTGGATCAAGCCGGAGGACACATACATACATATATATGAATATACACATGTATATTACATGCTATATAATATAATATCATATAATATAAAATATAATATTATATCATATATTCTTATATATAATACATTGTACATTATATACTAGGTATTATACACTAAATGTTTTAGACTATGTATTATGTGTTATATGTTATAGATTATATGTACTTTGTATTATACATTTTATATTCTATTTTATATATATTACATATTTTACGTCATTTATAACACATTATGTATTATGCAATATCTATTCTGTATTTTGTATTATCTATTCTATATTATATACTATATAATATATAATAATGCATATATCTACTATATACTATATATTTTTATTAATATACAGATATATGTATATAGATATATTATAATATATATATATACTTTGGGATGTGTGGGATGGCTGCAGCTGCCGTCACACATCACCCCCCAAAAAATGCCTGGTGCCTCAGCACTGGGCACGTCCGCCAGGGCCTTTGCCCTGGCGTAGTTCCAGGCGGCTGCAGTGATGTCGCCCTCCTGCTGAAGAGGGTTTTAAGTCCCCTCACCCTACACTCTAAACAACCCTAAACCCTAAATCCGGGACCCTGAACCCTAAACCCAATCCAAAATCCCTAATTCCCAAAGCGCTATACGTGTTAGGACAAGGCCCAGTCTAAGGTTCGTTAGGACTCGGGCCGAATAGTGAAGGTCGACTCGCCTCAATGCTCATCAAACCCGAAACAGCGAGAGTTGTAATTGGGGATCTGTCGCTCGCAATATTGCAAACCCACCCGGCCAAAGGTGGCGAAGTGAGGCCTGGAGGAAGATGTCGCCCTGCTTCCGGGCCTCCTCACCTCGCCTGCAGGTGGGCGGGGTGTTGCTTGAATTTAGGGGTTGAGGGTTTGGGGTCGCATTTGCAGGGTCCTTCAATCAAGCCTGGCGCTCAATGGGGTTTAGGCATTGAGTATGCATGGGGAGCCCACGTCGAACCCTCATCTCTTGGACTTGGGCGCGCACCCGGACAGCCAACGGCCAACTTCCAGTGGAAGCGCATCATCTGGAAGAGCTGCAGCACGCCTGCTGCAAGTCCGCTGTATGCTGTCTGGGCTTCACACTGCAAAGCTGCGGGGGTTTAAGCTTGAGCTCCCTGTTGGGCACACAGTGAGCAGCCGTCACTTTCCCCCGCCCCCCACCCCCCCCACCCCAAGAACAAAGACCCCAACACCACCTCGTTCACCCACGAAAGCGTGCGGACTGATGCATCGTTTTGAGGAGGTGGGTGCCCTCCCTCTTATCAGCAGCTCTCGCTGCTGGGAGCAGAAAGTGGGTCTGAAGTTCACATCCTTGATAGCACGCTAGAATTTGCGCAGTAGAAGCAACTTCATATGATGTAGTTTGCTGATGGCTCTTGTTCGGAAGCTGGCGTGAGGCATTAAACTAGAAGCTTTCGCTGCTTTACCTCAAACCCTCAACCCTAAAACCCTACATCCTAAACCCTTTTGGGGTGTTTTTTCATTCTGAAGGGAGCCGGGATGGTGCCTGCCCAGTCTGCCCGGCCCCATTCAGAAATACTGGGAAACGGCGCCAACGGTTTAGTTCTTTGATGGTGATGCTTTACAGGGTCTTCGGTCGGTCTAGCATTCCAGGATTTCATCCCACAGGTATTTATCATGAATGGTATAACCTTTTAGGGTTTAGGGTTTAGGGTTTAGGAGCAAGTATGACGACTGCAGCCCTGGAGTCCCCGTAGGACTCTTCAACTCGCTTGCGCCTCACTGACGGCAGGGGAGCCCGGAAGATGCCAAAGACAGCGGTAAAGCCCTGGCGGGCTCTCTTGGGTTTAGGGTTTAGGGTTTAGGGTTTAGGGTTTAGGGTTTAGGGTTTAGGGTTTAGGGTTTAGGGTTTAGGGGAGATACCCCAAGCCCTGATCCTGGAACTACCAGCTGCGTAATGCTTATACGGTCCATCGTCCTCATGAGTGAGAGCCCGACACCCCCAAAGCACCCTAAACCAAACAGGCCGCCCAACCCAAAACCCTGAAGCCCTGAAGCCCTGAAGCCCTGGAGCCCTGGAGCCCTGGAACCCTGGAACCCTAAACCCTAAACCCACAGGCACCCAGGAGGGATGCCTTGGGGTTAATGGCCGGGGTTCAGGGTAGGAGCTAGAAGCCAGGGGCATCTCTGCCTATATTATGAGCTTGCTTCTGACCATTAAAACCACCCTGAGTCTGAGTACCCATGAATCAAGGAGGCAGGCTAAGGAGGCCAGGGCGTTTTGTGCAACAGCTGAGGAATGCCCATGGAGGCCATTCTCTCCTGGGCTTCCGGCTTCGCAACTCTAGCGGTATATGTACTGCACCACAGAGTCAGAAACCCTAGACCCACAAACTCCAAACCCTAAACTGCGAAGCCCTAAGCTCTAAGAAGCCCTAAGCTCTAAACCCCATGACTACAATCCCCAAACCCGAAAACTTTGAAGCCCTAAGCTCTAAACCCTATAGTATCCTATAGAACTGCAAACCCCAAGACCATGAAGCCTCAACGAAACTACCCTAAACCCTAAACCCTAAACCCTAAACCCTAAACCCTAAACCCGAACTCCCCCCCCCCCCCCCTAAACACTACCACCGCGAGCGCGGGCCCAGCTGTGGCCTGGAGTGCTGCTCGGCCAGTTCGCGTTGCCTCACACGGCCACGAGAAAGGAAGCACTCGTGCAACTGCGTGTTGGGGGTTTAGGGTTTAGGGTTTGGGGTTTAGGCTTAGGGTTTCGGGTTTGAAGCTCAGGAATTTTGAGGGTTTAGAGGACCGGGACTTATATCGTTTGAGATTTGATGAAGCGGCTGCAGCTTGAACGAAAACCGGAGAGTCGCCATTTTCTTGCCTCCTCTGGCGCCGCTTCGGCCAATGCTTGTGGCCCAATCCTTGAGTTCTCTAGGGCTTAGGGTTTTGAGGGTAGAGGGCTTAGGGTTCAGGGTTTTGTAGGGCGTAGGGTCTATGGTTTAGAGGGGTTGGGGCTTATTTATTGAGGCTTAGAGGGCTTCTATGGTTTAGAGAGGTTGGGGCTTAGCTAGGGTTTGATGACTGTTTCGTTCCGAGCTTAGAGGTTCCTGAAAAGGGCCTTTTCCTACTTGTAAAGGTTTCCTGACGGCTGGCACGGGTGCGTGTTTTTAAAGGCTGTCCTTTTAGGGTCTAGGGCTTTCAGGGTCGGAAGAAGATCGATGTGGAGATGTTGCTCATTTCTCTCTTAAAACAAAAGCCTGATATAGAACACCATAAGGAGAAGAAGGCTCCCCACCAAAAAAAGGACCGAATTCAGAACACCCCGCCGAACATGCAAGGCGCTGTGGCGCAGTGTCTTAGCATGGGCAGGGTTTAGTGAGTTTAGTGCTTATCAGGGGTATATGGGCAGCTTTTTCACTGCCCCGAGAATTCTGATTCTGAGCTGGGGACTCGCCGTTTGCCCATATCCCCAGTAAGGGCTTCCGGGGGAAAGCTGCCTCGAAAGCCCAATCGGAGTTTGGGGTTTAGGGTTTAGGGTTTCGGGCCGCGGGTTTAGGGTTCAAGACTTCCTGAGAAGAAACGAATGCCACAGCGAAATTTTGATCCCAGGCCAATATCCTACGCCGGAGTCCCTTAACCTGACACCCTGAACGCTTTGGACCCATGCACGGACTACTCCCTAGCACCCTTTAAACCTACTCTCCTAAATCAGCGAAGCCCTGAACCCTAAACCCTGCAGCCCTAGGGCCTTAAGCCCCTGAACCCTGAGGCCCCTTCGACCCCTAAGGTTCAACCCTTGAGTTTGGGGACCCGTTTTAAGATCCTCTCGGGAAATATACGGGCCAGACTAGGAGTATATTCAAGGAAGCTTTAGGGGTACGACTTTCGGGTCCGAGTATGACTCCCTTGAAAGGCACCCGAAGGCGGCCTTGAAGTGACTGAGGTCCTGAAAGTCCTCGTCGAAGAACTGTGAGCGGCGCCCGCAGCAGGTGAACATCACGGCCTGAGCGTTTGTTTGGCGGGTTTCTAGAAGGATCTGAGGGTGTAGGGTTTTCGGTTTAGGGCATTCACGGGCGCAAGGGGTTTGGGCGCTTAGGGTCTCAGGAGTTTGAGGATTTAAGGTTGAGGATGTGCTGCCTCAAAAGGATTTCGGAGACAAGCTTAAAGGTTAGGGTTTGGGCATTTTGGGTTTTGAGTGGATTTGGGGATCTGGCGCAGCAAGGGCTGCAGGTGCTGCAGGACTTGGGAGTTCAAAGCCTGGGGGTTCTGAGCCTATAGCACGATCTTGTGTATGGTTTAGACTTCGGGTGTGTGTGTGTGTGTGTGTGTGTGTGGTGAAGGCAGCCTCTCCTGATGGCATGGGAGTTGATTGTGGGTCCTGTTGCTCGGGATCTGTACCAAGAACAGCCCACGATGTTGATCAATCCCATTCTGGGTGGGTCGAGTCTAGGCCGTGGATGGATGGCTCCCGACATGGAAATGAAGGGTTGTAGGAAATGAAGGGATGTAGCGTTCAAGGATTCGGGAAGTTCAGGGCAGAATCCCTCGCAGAACTTTTGCGCAAGGGCATTTGCGTTTCCTTGGCCGACTGCCGAAAACGTCTCGCCGAAAACATCTCGAGACTGGTCAGCTTTGAACCAATCTGCTTGTGGCCGGAAAAAAATCTAGGACTGAGCAGGATGTCTTCCGCACAAGGCATTTATAGTTTATAAAATCCCGCACTGCAAGGTAATTAGGGTTCACCACACTGGTGGAGGACGTCCTGGCACAGAGTCTACACGTGTTGGGCCCGAAGGGGCAAAAGGACCCGAAGGGGCCAAAGGACCCGAAGGGGTCAATGCTACTCGCAATCGCATAAAGCTTCAGGAATGTGTAGGATTGAGGGTTTCAGAGCGCTTCAGGGTTCTGCAGAGGGTTTACATGAGTTGCATGCTACTTTAAAGGAACCCCGCATTTAGGAAACTCGGGGTTTTGAAGGTTCAGGCTGCCAAGCGATTCTGGCAAGGATTGCTCATACAACTCACCACAGTTGATGCCGCGAAGGATCAAAGGGGGAAAGGTCGACGGAGCTGGCCCGACCGTCGAGGATCTCCTGTTGTAAGGTCCGAGGGCATGGGTTTCAGTGCCCCTGAGGCAGAAAACGGCTGTTCCGATACCTCTGAAGTCGAAACACTCAAGCCCTACTGTACACTCTGCCGCCCCATGTTTCTAGGTTGCCGAATGACCTAAGGACAGGGTGCCTTATGCATTTTGTCTTGAGTATGGCTTCCACTAGTTCTCCAGCTTTTGGACTTCAAAACTGTGGAATTAAAAATGTAACAGGGTGCAGCGTGCAATGTAGAATACAACACAACATACATCCTGTATGTACTTCACCTCGGCTTAGACGCGTCTAGAACAGGCAGACCAGCATCCGCGGTCTCCTTCCCCGCTTCAACGCCTTTCAAATTTTGCCCCTCCGCCGGGGACCTGCCCGAACCGCTTGCAGGAGCCGCAATCAGGCTGCGGTCCCAAACCCCCACCTCCCACCCCCCATAACCCCACCCAGGACCCCTTGTGGCACCCGCCTTGAACCTCCCTCCAACCTTCTGAACTCATGATGTGCGTGGTGCTGCACCACGTGACATAGAGAACATCATAGAACTTGGCTTTCCTTCGTCTGCGATGCGCACGCTGCACCCCGCGTTGGGCCAGCCCGGCTGCCGAGGCGGCGCGTGCAAGCGCATACAATACTGAACACAGATTGTACAATAATATCATAGAATGCTATGAGCTGTAAGCCTTTCACATTCCGGATTCCATGGACGCCCCTTGAGCCAATACTCCGTCCTCAGCCAGGACTTTGCCAGTAATAGGGCCGCAGAGAAGCCTGGCCACTCGGATGCTTGAATTTGAACATGTCGGATTTGCAGCAAAGTTTGGTTCTCAGCACCCTTTCTAGACCCAAGTGTGGACTCTTCAAACAAAGTGAGCCCAGGCCACCCATAGCAATTGTGGCCGCAGGCGACGTAGGCGCTGCCGCCATACCCAGGGATTTTCCCGATCCTGAGCTGTTATTTTTCGGCTTGCTTCAGTTCACTCTGCAATATAGGGACCTGAAGAACTAGAATAGGGCTTTGCGGGATATTGAAGGGACCATAAGGGAAAGAAGCCACGGCATCTTGGAACCCACCTGGGTTTTTTTTCGGCGCAATAGAGGACAGGAGGTTAAGCAAACCTTGGCCTTGGTTGTATGCGAGCCAAAATCAGAACTAGTTCTTAACGAGGCTATAGTGGGTTTAGGGTTTAGGGTTCAGTGGTGGTAGGGCTTGCAGATCAGCTGCATTGGCGCCCGGTTTGCCATGACGGAGCGAACGCCCGCTCCAGTTCTCACCGGGGCCTTCTGCAGAAAAGCACCGAACCCTCAACCCCTCGATGCCTTGTAGGGTTTAGGGTTTAAGGTTTAGGGTTTAGGGGTGCTCTCTTATAAGAATCCTACCCCCCCCTCTTCCTGCCAGAGCCCTTAACCAAGTCACCAAGATGTGTATCAATGAAACGAGGAGGACGAGATGTCTAATCCATGCTGCAATGGCTAACTCGGCTTGGCATTGTTCTACACTCCTGTATTAAAAGTCGGTCAACACACATGCAGTGACTCAACGCATCGCCTCACCATGAGTCAGCGAAGAGAGCCGTTCAAAGGAGATGCGGCCAGCCTCACCCAAGCTCACTTCGGCCCTAGTCCACTATATAACTCTGAAACACGAACCAGCCTGTCAAAACCTGCTGGCAACATAGGGTCTGCAGGTGACTTGGGGACCTGAGTTGACTAGATTGCAGACTGCGGTCCTAAACTCCAGCATATAACGCACCTCGAGATCTCCTTGGTTCGGACGGACATCCTGCGGGAATCGCAATCCGGATAAGTTCTGGGTCTACCTGGAGGTTCATGGCACTTACCAAGCACTTATAACTGTACTTATAACTGTACTTATAACCATATTGGGGCACCTAAGGGGCTTATTTCATGATGCATGGATGCCGGAACTGCTGAGTTGGCGTCCTCGGGCTTCAGCTGCCGAAGATCTTCACCAGTGAGCACCTGCCATGGGTCGCAGAATCGAACTCGTGCCCTCTACGGATTCGGGTTTAGGGTTTAGGGTTTAGGGTTTAGGGTTTAGGGTTTAGGGTATTAGGGTATTAGGGTTTAGGGTTTAGGGCAACCCTCTGGTCTATGCCTTAAACAATGACTCCTTAAGCCGTACCTCAGGTCTCCAAAACAGCAGGCTTCCCCCGACTCCTGGAGCAAGCTCCTAATCCACGAACAGGCCTTCTCAGAAGAACTCAGGAGTTAACTCGACACTGCAAGTGGAAGCACAACCCTCATTCCTTGGCCGACTTGGCCCATGTGGCCAAAAACCTTTGAGGCTTTCCCGCCATCTTCTGGCCAGCCTTGTGCCCGCCCTGCACCCCCAGAATGCTCACCTGCAGCAGGATGACTCTGCTGGGGCTTTTGGGCAGAGCTTTCGGAATGGCAAAAGGATCTTGCGCTCGTCCAGGACGTGGCGGCTTAAGGCAGCAAGGCCCAGATGACCAAGACCTCGCACTAGAACTACACATCTGAGGCTCATACTATCCATGACCACACTGCATCGTTCTGATTTGTTCCTTCCGTTGCTGCTCTTGCTCTCATTGCTCTCCCGGGAGCTTCATTTTCTTCTTCGTACGCTCCAATCCGCCCGCGCGGCCGCGCGAGCTAAACAAAGTGCAGCCCGCGAGGTTTTTCTTCACTACCTGTTAGAATGGAAAAACTACGTAGGAACATTTCAGATTCTCAGGCACTTAGCTTGATACACTTAGCTTCAAAGCAATCTCCTGGAATGAGCTCCTGCAGAGCCCCATAAGCCGTCTACAGCCCGTACGCCCAAAGTTCTATCCTACAAGCCCGAGTAGTAGTTAATTAGTCCTGAAAATCGAGCCTTTCCATCCGCTCGAACGGTGACACCCAGGTCGCGTCCTTCTTCATCCTGCATCACAGAATGGCGTGATGAATCCAAGGCAACTATCAGTTGCTGGGCTATGACTTTCTGTGGAGTACTAAGTATACACACTAAACCACTGAGCCCGAAAACTACAGCCTACTATACGTACTCAAGCACCTTCAAATAGGTGCCTGCGACATGATGGTGGCGCTGTGAACCCTGGCGGCGCGCTTGTCCTTGGCTCGGCGTTGGGCATTGATAAATTTGGGGGCTGTGCAAGGCTTATAGGGCGCATATACTCAGGGTTTATCACCGACTTGGGTTGTAAGGGACGGGTTGCTGCTGCCGGCTCGACCGTAGGCGTGTGCGCGTGTGATGGGTTGAGGCTCGGAGGTGGACACTCTTCACACATCAAGCACGACGGAAGAAGTGGCACCCGAAGGAGTCACTTCCCAAAGCCCCAAGAGCAAAAGCCCTGGCATGTGCACGTGGATCCAAATAAGTCTGGTCTCGTAGAATGCCATGGAGCCCAGCGTGCCAGAGAGTGGCACGCGGAAGCCTTCGAACCAATCCTGGACCAAGCAGTCGCGGTATCTTTGAAGTATACTTCCGGTGGTACTGCGCCAAGGTTCTGAATAGACTAGTCATGCTCCGGATCTGAATCCTCCTCTTCCTGGGGCCATCCCTACCTACTCAACCTTAGGAGAGCCAAATGGCCCCAAGCCCTAGACTCCTAAGACTTCAAAGCTGGGTACGATGGGGGTAGGAGTGGGGAGGAGCAAGGCAGCCGTGGAGGGCCTTTAGGGGCACCATGCTGAGCAGCATCTACGAGGCGGGAGGTGCCCGGCTGAGTTTTCGTAGTCGAGCACTTACCAAGCAGAGGCGGAGATCAAAGCAGAGGTTCTGAAGACCACCCTGCAAACCGGGACAAAGAGCTGAGCTGACCGAGGCTAAATTACGACAAGCTGCTCTAACCTTTCCCCCCTAGGCCCTAGCAAGAGATAAACAACGCGGGCAAAGCGAGGCAGGTCTTCCACAAGCG